GGCATTGAGTCCAATCACCTGTGCATTTCTCAAGCATATTTTATAGAAAGTCATCCAGTTTTAGCCATTTTGAAAGCCATCATCACTGCCTTTAAGTATGCTCTTTCGCTTCTCCTCCCCCTTCCCCAGTGGTGGTGGCAGAAGAGGAGCTGCAGCAAGAAAGGCCCAGCAGTGGCAAGAGGGAGGAAATGCTTTTTCCTCACACTGAGCCGCAGCAACGCTCGGTCACTGTCACTGCTCATCATGGGCAGGCACATCTAGAGCAGGTGGGCAGGGCCAGGCTGGGGCTGTGCTGGGCTGAGTCTGGGGTAGGCTGTGCACATGGGTCCCCATTAGTACTACAGAGCTGGGGCCAGTGGTGACAGCAGCCAGGAGCTGCCACCACCACCACCTGGGTTGCCTAGAAAGGCACTTCAGTTGCAGAGCTGGCTCAGCCCCACTGCATGTCCCACCGCCCCCTGGGCCTGCCACAGGCTAGATGGCACCTGGGCCAGGCAGGACTGAGACACCCCCTGGGCTGGATTAAGACCTTCAGTAGGCTATATTTTGCTTAGCCCTGGCTTAGATTGTACTTGGAAGAATCAGAATCCAATTACCACAACCACAGAGGAAGCTGTGTCATGATCGGTCTACAAAGAATCAGGTCTCATCACTCAAGTCTCCAAGTTACAGGATAAAATAAGATGCACTGGAAACTTTGTAAACTATTTAAGTTTATGGTTATGATGCATTAACTCTGTATTAAAGACTTGAAAAATTAAATACATGGACTATTTCTTGGAACACAACCAGATAAATACCTTTTAAACAAAGCCTTAGTCCTTAATATTATTTGTCTCATGAATCTATTCTATAATCTGGATACAAGTGTAACTTCAGTTAATATATATGCAAATCATAAGTTCCGTCTGGAAAGTTGCTTGTAGATGCCCCAAAGAGGTTTAGACTGAGCTGGAAGGAATCTTAAGTTTAAAAAGGAGAGTGGCAAATTACTGAATCTGTTATACTAAAACTAACTGCTGGGAATGATGTTGGAGGGAAGGAAGCCTGCCGCCTATATCCAAGCTGTTTTGCCTGCTGCTTAAAAACAAAAAATACTCTGCAGCTTTCATCACCTATGCCTAAATTGAATTGATACCAACAATGCACAAGGAACTATTGCTGCTGCTGAATTAGTAGTGTGTAGAGAGGAAAAATGGGAGGAGGACTTATTATTCATAAAGCCAACTTCTTTCATAGGACTGAAGCAGCAGCATCTCTATTCCAGATAGAAAAAAAATTGATACTGAAATAAAAGTCTCCAAGGGTAGAAAAAGACATTGCCTAACATCTCAGTTGTGCCACCATAAAAATTGGACTCCAAATACTAAATAAACAAATAAATACGTAAAAGTCATAGGCAGTTGTAAAGCCCAGCAAGAATGGGACTTCAGTAACACTGAACTCAGGGCCTTCCTACTCCAAAACCAAACCTCTGTGCTACTGAGCACCAAAGGTACTCACTCTTCTCTTTCAGATTCCTGATGTGATATGGCCCAGATTGAAATGCTACATACAGGCAAGAGGGTTGCTGGTTGAGATGGCTAGAAATCTTGACAAGTCAGCAAGCTAACCCCTAGGCTTTGGCTGTATGCTACATGGACTTTGCTTTCACTCCACCCCTTGTTAGGCTGATGGCCTTGCAAAGAACTGGGACAAGCCTCAGGCACTACTGGTACCCAACTAGATTCTAGTAGTCTGCAGCCATCCATACAGGCAAGCCCAACCCTCAGAGTGAGGCAGGGCCCAGGATTTGGGCTTTGGCTCCCAATCCTGAACCTTGCCCTTTGCACCCCCAGGCAGGAGCTTATCTGAGCTGTGCTTGGCTCAAGGAAAAGCAACCTGGCTCAGCAGCCCCAGCAGGACAGCCCTGCAGGAAAGGGGCATGAAAAAGCTTGAACTCGCGCTATTTCACCTGCCCGCAGTAAATCATCCCTTATGCTACCAAGCACCAAAGCCACACACCCTTCTCTCAGACTCCATATATGATATAGACATGGCCACCCCAAATTAAAAAAAGAAAAGAAAAGGTGCTAACAGCTTCAGAAGGCCTCCTGCTCAGCAAGAAGGGGATGCAGGCAAGCTTAGACTTGCTCCCTTTTCCCTCCCAAAGCACAGCCTAAGAGCTACTGAGCACCAAGGCTGCACACACTCCTCAGACACCTTGACTCAAGGGCATGACTCAAGGGTAGCTGACTTGTACCAGAACCAGACTATTAAAAAAAACCCAAGCAAACAAACACCCTGTCTGGTGTCACATCCTATCAAAGTACAGTCCTTCCAAAGGAAATTAGAGGCCTGCAAGGCGAGTCATGCTGATCTATTCAAGGCATTGTCAGGCTGTAACAAGCCCAAGATCAGAGGCAGGCCCTATTACTTCTCCGGAATACAGAAGCAGACAAGACACCAAAAATGGAAAAGCAACCACCCAACAATGGTTTACTACAGAAGAACAGCATATCCCATTTGAAGCGTGGATGGCAGGGGGGTCAAATATACAGCCTGCAGAGCCTTTGCCATCCAGCCCCCAGTGCTGTCTAATCACACCCACAAGGGCATGGCAAACATCTGTGGCACAGGACTCACACACTTCACTCTCCCTCCCCTTGCCCTCAGCATAGCTGATCCAGTGGCTGCTCCAGCTGTTCTGGGACTCATGCTACATACGCATGGGTCCCAGAGTGGCTGAACAGGCACCCCATTCTATGCAGTCTGGTTGCTGCACCCAGTGCCCACCCAGGCAGCTCTGGGACTGCACCGCATGTGGTGCTTGTTCCAGCCAGTCTGGGATCCAAGCCACTTGTGGTACCTGGGCAGAGGTCCCAGGCCATCTGGAATGGGTGCTGTGCAGCATGCACCTCCAAAGCAGGTGCCATGTGTGGTGCATTCTGGCACACTGTGACCACCTGAGCCATGCAGCTGCTATTCTGATTGGACTGGGCCATGCGAGATACCTATTCTGGCCGCTCCAGGATCCATCCAACACACAGCAGGGGTTTCAAACTGGCTGGCGCAGCCACTAAATCAGGTGTGCTGGGCAGGGTGGGGAGGGATCCCACGAGCCTCATCTGGCCTGCAACCTGGGCCTGTGCCATTCATCCAGCCCGCAGGGCCAGAGGAGTTTGACACTGCTGCAATAGGAAATAGTGATGGAGCACAGCACACTTACTAATGCTGAAGATTACAGAGACGTAATCTTCTCTATACTAGCACTAAATTAAAAAAATAGTAGTACTAAATTTAAAAAAAAAAAAGTTAAATAGGTCATTTATCCAGAGATCAAAGGTCTTGTACATCAGCCAATAAGGGGCTGAGGCAGGGACTTTGTTGGTAAAGCATCACCTATTGTGAGAGTTTAAGAAGTGAACATAACTGAACAAACAGAAGACCTGGACGTGAGTGATGCACAGCCACCTACCTTTGCTGGCCAGGTTTGGCTCTTAACCATAACTGCATTTTAAATAGCTTGGGGCTTTTCATTAATGTTAAATTTTGTCTGCAGAGTTCTACAGAACTCGTTGTATATACTTTCCGGTCATTAGGGTAGAACAGAAAGATGGTGAAGTACAACACTAAATACAAACAAAGACTTTATTGAACGCTGCTCAATCCCCCAGTGAAGAGCTCTCATTACAAAACAGTTTTCCACAGAACTGCAATTTAAGAGATTGGAATGGTAACTCTGATCAAAAAGATGTGAGAAATACCTGATCAAGTGAAACAGACAAGACTTCTACAGTCCGCTTTTTCCAGTTTACACTGAAGAAGCATACTGCATTTTCTTTAAATAAAACAAGAAACAGGATCCAAGGTCTCTGCCCTCCTAGTTTGGAATCCTAGATTTAGTTTCTCGCTGTGCCAGCAGAGGCTGGAAGTTCTGTGGATGCAGCTCTGGAGGATGGAAGGGAGAAAAGTGGGCAACAACTGCATTGCGTCAGAGATCACTTGGGCTGACTGGGAGCATCACTAATGTGCTCGAAAGGAAGCTCCATCTTCAGCCGTAAGGTGAGAAACAAACCCAACTAGGCCCAGGAGCAAGAAGCATGTGGAGGGGGTAAACAGACACCAAAACATTCATCAAGTATAAGGTCAGATACAGAGTATGCACTAGGTCCACTCTAACAGATTAGATGTTCATACTTCAACTTGTTGCCAACTTGTGCTTTTTAAAATTAAAAATTTAAACCCACAGCATGATTCTTTGCTCACTGGTATTCAATACAGCAATATCTTTGAGATCTGTAATGGTATGAAGGGCACATAAGGTATCTCCTCAAGTTACAGGTAAAAAGTAATGTAGCTTAGTTTTAGTTTTATTTGAGAAAATACAGCAGAACTAGAAGCCTTTTCTAGAATCTCGACCAAGGTATGCAGCAATGTGAAAAGCACGTATAAAACAAGGAAAAATGTACATAGCAGACTACACCACCTATGTGCAACACAATCAAAAAAGAAAATTCAAGTCATAATTCTCACCACTCCCATAATTATTCTCACTCATTATGGATGATAATTCATTTCTATGAAACTTCAAAAGTGCCAATATATCAATGATTAGACAAATTTACAATATGCTGTGGTAATGACGTATCATTCAACTACTGTATTTAATTTCATAGCTTTTTCATTTACATTTTGCCAGAGAAAAGGCTGGCCAGTTCTATTATACTGATGAGGTTTCTGTTTTGCAATTTTTACCTAGTTCAAAAATGTACAAAAGTATGTCTCTCTCAAGCAGAGGGCATCATTTCTTTTATTTGGCACTTGTATTATTTTGTGCATTTAGCACATTGTGAGTGCTGTTCTGCTTTTCAGCCAAGACCTTCTTTAGCTTTAGGTCTTCTAACTTCCTCCACAACTCTTCCCGTTCCAATTCCTTCTTTTTCTCTCTGCAGAAAAATAAAAAAGATCACTACTGAATACACCTGGGCTGCAGATGTGATGTATGTAACCGCACCTCTACAAGTTTACTACAAATTCCTCTTGCAATTTTTAAAGCTGGCGGGGGTGGGGTGGGGTGGGGCGGGGCGGGGCGGAGGGGAGAC